AATCATTGACAGATTAACAAAACGAAAGAAAAAATGTGAGTTACAGTTCATTGTGACGCGTTTCAAAGTTCTAGGAAAGGAAACCGAGATGGCAGAAAGTAGTTTTCTTTATTTTAAAAGCTTTAGAGTTTTATTTATTTTACTGTTTTATTTATTTTGCAAAAGCTTGACAGCTTTGAATAATGTCTTACTTCTATCTGTATAACCAACCAGCATTGGTATGACTATCGGGCCGGTGCCTCACGCACACGCACAACATATTTTTGCGACATTGCAGCCTGTTCATTATCAAAATAAAATACAGTTAAAGAAACAAATAAGTAACACTGCTCCATTGTACAAAATCTGCTGCGTTCAGCGTGACCACCGCCTCACTGTGCTATATAGCCGATGTAAAGGATGATGTTTTAAGTCGATGAATGTACAAAGCCTAGCCTATAATAAATAATATTTTAGCATCCAGATATGTCGCGAATATGGAAACATTTGGATTCGTGCCGAATGAGAGAGGTAGGCATCAGTTTCACCTTAAATTAATTTGTTTTTGGATTGACGTTTTTATAGCCTAAACGCATTGCCTTAACTTTAGAGGATTTGTTGTGGAGAGAAACTAATAAATGTATTTATAATGTTTGTAAACATTTTGCTTTAGCCTACACTATTTCTGAATGTAATAGGGCTAATAAAATGCAATGTGAGCTATATGCTACTTATGTTTTTTTCACTCTCAAAATGCAATCTTATACAAGTAGCGTTTTTTAACAATGCAGCAAACATTTTTAAATATCTTAAAAATACTTTAATGTCTTTAAAGTGTTGATAGTTTTTTTTCTTTTGTTTTGTAGCCTACATTTGGCCAAAATCTAGAAAAGATGATGCTGTATTGGCTGTGACTAAGCGCAGCAGGTTATAGGCTAACGTTACCAGATCTCTTCCCGGTTTTTTTTTTTAGTAAAGAAAACGCTGTACTTTATTATTATTATTATTATTATTATTATAGGCAAAGAATTTAAAAAATAATAATAATAACGTTATTAACCGGTATTTCTTCTACCCGAACCAGTTTTGGAACGGTAATAATACAGAGGAACGCAGGAACAGAAACGTTAAAATATCGATTCTGCTCGGAGTGAACAGATTGAAAAAAAAAATTCGTTTTCAAGCCCTGGAGGCAAGTTACTGTCTTTATGAATGGGTCACTCAATCATCGACTCACTCGATTCGTTCAATAACATGGATTCATTCAGTAATGAAACACAGCGGTGTGTTGTTCGGAGACATACAACTGTTCTGCTGTGGCTTTGATTGGAACTATTTTCTTTTGCAAAACTAAGCAAAAACAGTCAATATTCTGTCTAAAATGTAAGTCACTCATTTTAACTTCTTGTTTATTGCACTACTATTGTATGGTGTCATATTGCAATCATGCTGATATGTTGCTCACCTATATCATATATTATAGGCTAAATGTAATTTTTTATCCCTCAGTATGCATCTAAAACTTTCTCTGAGATACTTTGTCTGTGCTGTCGTGCTCAATTATTTTGATTTCTGCACAAGTCTCTCTCTCATTTACAATACATCAATACATTATCAGACGCCGTTTACAATATATGCAGTAAAATCAGAATCATTCGTGACCAAGTTTCAGTACTTCCCTATTTATTTTTGTTATTGACGTTTTAATAAGGCTTCTTGTCCGGTCGGGTAAGTAAAATTCTCTCTCACGTGCCCCTTTAAAAAATGTACAAGCGTTAATAGAGCCCTGTGGTTCCCCCATGGTTTACTTTGGCCCTACACGTATTACAAATTGTGAACTTTGTGTCTTCTTCACTCACAGTGAAGAACTTCCACACCGACAACATGTTTACATGCAGTTGTGAGTGTGGCTGTGATGTCAAAATGGACCAACTCGGAATCTGCAAGACATGAGACTGACTGGCCGATCACCGGTCCGGGTCAAGCATGCGGAAAATCGGCTGATTCCGGTCCCTGACTGGTTGATCGGTGCATCTCTAATTTACATTATCACCTTTAATATGCCACTTTTCTCTGGATCTTCAGAAAAGCTATATATATATTAATTATAGAACAGTTCTTTCTGGTCCTCAAATCTAATTGGCTTAGAGGAGTGTGATATTCAAGTGATATTGGAACTCCATTGTTCCACAATTAGATGGCGACAAGAGATTGTTTTTATGAGTGAGTCAGCAGTAAATACTGCTGAATATTGAAAAGACTGAAACAGGGCTGTAAACAAGGAAGTAATTTTTACTTTCAATAACACCAATAAGACGCAGCCAACAAATTCACCGAGCAGTGCTGTCACCCTTAACAGATTCTTGTCACCCTTTCCTCAGCAGACATTCAAACTGATGATTTATTGTGAATATGAGATTGAGCTGAAGAATGAATGCTGTATTAGATGCAGGTTATCATACTTGATATGTATGAGCAATATCACACGAGTAGCCGTGCGATATGGCTGTATATCGTCATGCTGTGATTGACTACGGCTGAATCACAGTCGTGCCGATATACAGCCATATCGCATGGCTACTCATGTGATATTGCACATATAAATAAACTGGTTAATAGTGAGAATTGTCCCTTAAACTAAAATGTTACCATATAAATATTTTTCAGTTTGATAGTGACTCATGACTTAAGACTCTTGTGATGTGTATTTGATGTGTTCAGGTGTGTCGTACATCAATGCGCTATCTTGCTTTGATGATATCCAGGCCTGTGCTCAAACTGAAGGAAATCAACCCTCTTCTCTTTAACTTTGTGGAGGAGCTGGTGGAAATCAGAGTAAGTTTTTTTTTTTTAATTATTATTATTTGTAAAACGGGTTATTATGAACAGTGCATTTGCTGAAACAGCATCCAATTGTAAGTAATCTAATTATATCTCTTATCATTGTTGTACTTCAGAAATTACGTCAGGATATATTGCTAATGAAGCCATATTTCATCACCTGTAAGGAGGCCATGGAGGCCCGACTCCTGCTGCATGTAAGTAATTAGGACACAATCTCATTTAGGCCATGTCACAAATGGTGCCCTACACCCTTTCATTTCTCCTTGGAGTTTACACTTTAGTGGCATAAGATGTATAAATTGGCTGTGCTGTGGAGCCTGCATAACTCAGCAAAAGTCTGCATCAGGGGCACAAATGTGACCACAAAAGGGACACTCTACATCCTTCATGGACACACTCCTGTATTTCATCTAGGACAGGGCCTTACAGTCAATGTTGTTGGCTGCAGCACACTCCAAAAAAGACAAAATAAAAGTGAAAAAGTTAAAGGATATCCAAATTAAACTGTTTTGAAACAGTTCCCAGTAAGCATGTGAATTGGTAATAAGTGAGGGTATCATGTTTAGGTATAAAAGGAGCATCTCAGTCTTTGCAAGCAAAGCTGGATCATGGCTCATCACTTTGTGCCCAATTTCATGAGAGAAGTGTCAAACAAATCAAAAATCTAATTTCTCAATGCAAAATCGCAAAGAATTTAGGTCTTTCACCATCTACCATACATAATATTGTGAAAAGATTCAGGGAATCCAAAGAAATCTCAAGTCTGTGTAGGGCAAGGCAGGAAACCTTGTAACGATTGGCCTTATCGGTCGAATTACATGGGTTTAAAATGGGATCAGATTAAACTGTGTGATAAGTGTTTTAAAAAGATGAGACAACGACAAATGTAGAATGAATAGTGTATTTACAGAATTCACAAGGAACTTAAAACAACACAATAAAACTAGAAATCCTAGGCTGTTAAAAGAGTGTTTCATTTCCATACCATTAAAACAGTCCTTAAGAAATCCATCATGCTGTAAGTTCCAATGTAAAAGTGTCCACCGGTGTATATACAATCCAAAGAAAGTGATAATCCAATAAAAGTGAGATGCTGGAATGGCAGGTCCACAAAGGTAACTCCTCAATCCAGCGTGTTCAGTGCTTTGGCCAGAGACCCTGATTTTTTTTTTTTAATGCATACAATTCAAATACAAACTTTAACGACATATTTCAATAACTGAACACATATTATTAATGTTGATACAGCAAATTGCAAGAAAAAAAAACAAAGCAGAAAAAGAAGGGTGTGAGTCTTATTCTATCAACAAAAACAAGTTCAAATTATATAAGAGTTTCTGGGCAATTCTGTCTGTCATGTAATTCATTCTTCCATCCGCTGAAGTTGGGGTTATCCTTTAAATACTTGCATCTATGAATAAAGTGTTTGCACAAAATAATTAAGTTATTTATCAAAAAGTCTAGGTTCTTATCTTTCAACAATACTCCAACTTTAATTGAGACCACAGTCCAAGGGTGTATTGGTATATGTTTGGAATGAAGCCAGTTTTGAAATTCAAGCCAGAAAACATGTTCTACCGTTTAAATGTCATCCTCACAGAACCCGCATGAATTATTCTCCCAATTAAATCTTTCATGCAAAAAGTTATTAGAAGGATAAATGTCATTTAAAATTTTAAATGTCACTTATTTGGCCTTAGGAAGGATTGGATATACTAAATATCGCTTCCTTATTTTCTTTGCCTCTTCTTCACTAAATTCTTGAAAAACATATATTCTTTTGAAATATTGTTTAGCTAATACCTTTCTAATAAACTTATTTGTAAATTGTTTGCTCTTTAGATTTGTACCTTCAATACAGAGTTATTTAATTTCTGGTATAGTATTAGAGTACAAAACAAACTGTTGAATCATTGTTTGCAGGGGTACTGGGATGGCCTTCATTACTTTGTTGTATTCTCTAATTGAGCATTGTAAATTAAATTTACCACACACATCACTATAATATATATTTTTTTAAAAACATAATTATCCATCAAATGCGATATTGCCCATATTCCTTTTTCCATCCAAGTCCCTACAAACAAAGATTTTCGATTACTAAGTATCCATCTTGGACAGCAAAACCCTGCCAAATATAGTTATATCCCTTTGTAGCCATAAGTTCAACATCTTTTTACATTTATCAATATTTCTAAGAATATTTTCTTTCTCTCTTATTTTTTTATTTCGGGTGACTGTAATACCCAAATATTTAACTTCCATTTTAACACTTATGTTACTGATTGAGCGAGCTGGTTGTTCATGCAAAGCAAGAATTTCACACTTATTAATATTTAACATAACACCTGATGCTTTAGAAAATTGATTAATTGAATCTAGTGCTGCAACAATTTGGTTTTAATTTTTTAAGAACAAAGTTGTATCATCTGCAAATTGAGTTATTATGATGTGTTTCCCCAATATGTTAAAGCCTTCAGATCCACTGTTCTTTACCATAATGGACAATAATTCAGCAACCATTATAAATAGTAAAGGAATATAATAAATGTTACACCATTGCCTAATGCCCCTCTTAACTAAAAATCTTGAGTAAGTGCCATGTTCTAAAGATGCACAACTATTAATATCATTATAAAGTATACTAATTAGATTTGTGAATTTCTGACCAAAACCAAAATGCTTTAAAGCTTCTAAGATAAACGGATAAACGGTTCTACTGAATCAAAGGCTTTGTAGAAGTCTAGAAATACAACGAAGCCATTCTCTACAAATATATCACTGTAATCGATCAAATCTAGAACTGATCTTATGTTGTTATGAATGGATCTTCCACCAAGGAAGCCAGATTGAGTTTTCACTTATTACCTGAGACAGGCTTTTTTTTCATTCTAGCTGCTATAATTCCTGATAATTTGTAGTCCATGTTTAAAAGTGTTTTGGGTCTTAAATTGTCTAGTAATCTTTTGTCTAGAGACCCTGATTGTTTTTCATGCTGCCTCCTATATGCTGTTTAGTTCTGGTTTCCTGTCATATGATGAGTCACATGACAGGCAGACCCAGAGTCACTTAAAGACATACACACATTAAAATGGTAAAGAGGAATAAAATGGCTAAGATAACATGAAAACCTATTAAAACTCAAATATATAAAATCATTATAATATATTGAGCATGTTAAAAACATGTGTCCTGTGTGACAGTGTCACAACCTCAGTTGAATGGGCATGACCTTTGAGCCCTCAGATGGAATTGCATAAGAAACCGTCATGCTGCGGTGTTAAATATAGTTACGTGGACTCAGAAGTACTTCGGAAAACACTATCAGTAACAGTAGTTACACTAACAGTATTTTTCAAATACTGCTTTAACTTCATGCTTTTATTCTTTACTATGCTTCAGCTTTAACCCTCTTCTGATAGCCACAGCCATATCACCCTGCAACCCAAGACTGGTTGCCCACCCCACATGATTGTAAGGTGCTTTGGGTGTACAGCAATACACAATAAAGCGCTATATAAATGCATCATTCATTCTTATACCAAACTGTAAGTGTGTGTGTGTGCGTGTGTGTGTTAGAATAGTTTAAGTGTCTCGTGTAGTTAATAAAGTCTTGTTTTATCACACTTGAGGTTGTTCGTAGTTTGCTCATAACTGGAGTCCCTAATCATCCCGATTACAGCTACATGCTGTTAAAAGTATGTTGAATGAGTATTAGGATATTATTATCTATGGCCAAGAGAGTAATATTCTACTGTAGTCTATAGATGTTCTCACATTCACTAGGTGAGTGCTGGCAGGATGTCTGAGACTGATTCTGTAAAACCAGTTTTTTTCCAAATACATTTATTGATTATAATTAATTAAAGGGTTACTCCTCCCCAAAATGAACATTTTGTCATTAATCATTTACCCCCACGGGCGTTCCAAACCCGTAAAAGCTTCGTTCGTCTTCGGAACACAATTTAAGATATTTTGGATGAAAACCGGGAGGCTTGTAACTGTCCCATTGACTGCCAAGTAAATTACACTGTCAAGGCCCAGAAAAGTATGAAAGACGTCGTCAGAATAGTCCATCTGCCATCAGTGGTTCAATCTGAATTTAATGAAGCGACGAGAACACTTTTTCTGTGCAAAGAAAACAAAAACAACGACTTTATTCAACAAATCGTGTCCTCTATGTCAGCGTAGCGCCATTTTGGAGAATATCTGCTGCACGCAAATAGCATACGTTGTTCTGTGTCAACCGCGCCACAAGGATACGCTGTTTTCTATGCTTTGATTTGAACAAAAACAGCGTATCCTTGTGGCGGGGCTGACACAGAACAACGTACGCAAAATATCTTAAATTGTGTTCCGAAGATGAACGAAGCTTTTATGGGTTTGGAACGACTTGGAGGTAAGTGATTAATAACAAAATGTTCATTTTGGGGTGGAGTAACCCTTTAACACATTTCCCTTTTGAGCTGATTTGCTACACACAAGACTAGATAATGATTTGAAACATCATCACTGCAGAATTTCAACATCATCAAAGTAGAATTATGACAATAAGGGAGTCCTGACATGTGTTGTCTAACCCTAATAGAATTTAGGATGTAAATAAATGCCAGTCCTAATGCATCTTTTTCATTATCTGTGTGGGTGTTAAAATCACTTACAATTAAGACTTTATCTGCTGGCAGTACTAATTCAGAAAATCAGCTAATTCTTTGATAAATCTGTGTTTTGCCCTCAACAGAGGCTGGAGCAGGCTGGCTGGAAGTTCACGAGGGGTTTTAGATTGAGCACAGACTGAGCAGGCCTTGACGAAATTAATAATGTCCTGGTTGATATTCGGGCACCAGAATGCATTACGTACCAGGGTTGTGGTTCGGTGGATACCAGGATGTCCAGAACCTAGTGAGGTGTGGACCCAGTGCAAAGTTCAATGGCGTAGAGCTTGATGGACAAATTGCTGGTTCATAGGGCATTCTGGTGGTGGTGGGTCATCTTGTTGCGCTTGTTGAATCTAATGCCTCATAATGCCCCAACTGATTTGTACAATGACCACAGAAGGTGGTAAGATGGTCACGATAGGATGGTTTACCTGTTCTGGATCATGCTTGAGAGTGCATCTGCCTTGTGATTCTTTTTGCCTGGTGGGTCTGTTACTGTAAAATTGAAGCGGGAGAAAAATAAGGACCATCGGGCC